TGGTGTTTCCCTGGCAAACAGGGCTCTGAATAGTCGCTGAAATATTTGACTAAAGGTCCTTCAGAGAGTCTAGCCTTCTTTCATCACACGGATAAGTAAATTTCCAGTGTTTATCATGGCGAGCGACGGAACAGCCTTCGGGTGGTTGCTGTGTCTGCTCTGCGAAGTTCCTAAAGACTTTGGAGTGCCGGGAATCTGTCGTCAGTTCGTGGATATAAGATGACTGCCAAACCAGAGTATGCAAAGTCAGAAATTCGAATGGCCGAGCAGCATGATGTAGCAGTAGTCTTTTAGCCTCGTATGTACTGCAGTGCGAAATAACTGTGGTGGAAGTTAGTACTTGTCAGAAAATAATAAATTAGCATATTTAATGTCTTTCCCAGTGGAAGAGGGATGAAGAAGTATGGTTTCGGATAGATACATTAGTTGTAGTGACCGGGAGGGAGACTACATGGGCATTAGCCGGGTTATGGGTCTGGAGCGTTGGCAGGCAGTTAATAATCTAATGCATCTAATTTGTGTACGTGCCAAAGTACTGCTGTTGAGGGTGATTCTTCGCTCTTCTTCAAATCGATGAGTTATACCAACGATCTCCGTTGTGTTGGTTATGCACTGTGGTCGATTTGAACCGTTCAGAATAAGATCTGATTTTCTTTTGGAACTCCGACTGCATTCTGCAGTTTTTCACATACACAGGTATGATTTTCTATATGAAAGTAGTCTAACTTTATGACATATTTCATTCTAATATGGGGGAAGCCGTGGGCTTCTTTGGAGTAGTGGTCAGAATGAATGAACGATAGTTGTGGTATTTGGCTTGAGTTGTTGTGTCGTTCATGATCATGTGGTAGTTTGGGACGATGGTGACAACGATATCTTTGATGTGGTGATAGAGCAGTGCCAGGTGAATAGGAATAGTACACTGAGGGGTGTGGATACTGTAGCTTGAAGCTAGCGCAAGCTAATTGGTGTTTTGTACTGCTTGCAAAATATTCGCTGACGATGCTTCAAGCTACAGTGAAAAGTGATGGGATCGCTGATTTGGGACTCGCTGTTAATCAGCTGATAGGCACTGAATAGAAAGTTTAATGTCTGTTTAAGTTGACACGTGTTAGACATGCTATACAACATAAACCATCGTTTTGTTAGACGTTGGTGTGGACGTTTGTTGTTCAATGGAAACTAAGTAAAATATAAAAATGTTACTAAATTCTGTTATTGCCGTGCTATGAATAGTGAAATCTCATTTAGCATTTTCTCTTGAACCCTAGTAACACCTAAAACGTTGGCTAGGTCATGGTTGAATTATAAACCAACGTCGGCTTTGCCTTATGAATTCTTTAAGTCCGGATTTGATGCATTGTAATTTACCAGAAGATGTGCAGCCTTTGACACAGGGTACTGTATATTCAACACATCATGGAGTAAAGAACAATGAAATATGATTCCGTTTGTTCTCTTTTATATGCTTAAAGTACTTACTCAAGGCTACGAGTATAGACTGAAGAAAAGCCACGTAAGTTCGGAATTGGAAAGCAGTCATTCGACGAGCTACCCGAATACTTTCGAACATAATTGCATTATTTTCTGAATTTTTTCCATTTCTTGAGAAGATACTTGGATACGCGATTGGAATTCTCATTTTCACACGCTGTGCTGATCATCACTATTGACTGAGAGCAGATGGCGCGTCAAAATGAATTACAGCCGTATGAAACTCTAAAATATTACAGTATAGTCGTAAAAATTCCATGATCACATGGTTGGCCAAAGACGATCGAAGCGCTACGTGTTTGACGGTCGACTACTAAAATCTGCTTGAAATAAATATCTTGACAAATGAACTTCGTTCTTAAGAAATGTTTTCTTTCCCAGGATTCGAAACCTCGTCTACGAGTTCAAGGCCTCCTATTGACCTCTGGTCACCGCTGCTGGATGTGTGGGTATTTTCTTCAATAATATTCAGAAAAAGAATGGAAATTTTTTGGAAAATGAGAAATTTGGAGAACTTCTAGCGCCAGCCTTCCTTTGGACTTCGATAACCATCCAATGAAGACACGAAACTCTCTACTGCCATGAAACTCTAAAAGATTACAGTATGGTAGTGAAAATTCCATTATGGCATGGTTGGCCAAAGATCATAGAGCCTGTTTCATATCTGCTTGAAATACATGCCTTGACAAATGAACTTCATTCTTAAGAAATATTTTCTTTCCCAGGATTCGAAACCGCATCTAGGAGTTCAAAGCCTCCTATTGACCTCTGGTCACCACTGCTGGAGGTGTGGATATTTTCTTCAATGATATTGATATTCTTCAATGATATTCAAAAAAAGAATGGGAATTTTTTGGAAAATGAGAAATTAGGAGAACTTCTAGCGCCAGCCTTCCTTTGGACTTCGATAACCATCCAATGAAGGCACGAAACTCTCTACAGTCATGAAACTCCGCTGTGCTATGTGCAAATTCGCTATCGCCGTCAAATGAACACCTCGAGCCAAACAAACATGAAGGTTCGCATCGAACGAAGCCTGTGTAAACATAAATTCTGTCTGTTATCGATTTTTACTCGCCTCATCGAATCAACCCTCTTCAGATATTATTTCTACTGGGACTGTTCGGATGTCGAGGTTATCGTTGTACAGTGACATTCGTTTCATCTGATCCAAAACGTTCATTTGCAGCACTGGGAATGTGAAGCATACAATTTTAATAGAAAAAAATTCAGGTATAGACGAGGTTAATAGACGAGTCGTGTTTCAAAAACTCAACACGTTTCGTCATTTGACTAAGAGGAATGAATTACCAGAAAAATATTTTACTTTGGAAAAATATAAGAATGTTCAGGTAAAATATACGTTGCAATTCGAAGTGTTGTACTGTACGTAAAATCATAAACGTGGTAGAAAACTAGCAGGCTCGTTGGAAGCCCATTAGAAACACATTAGTCTTATCATTTCGAGGGTTTCTTCGAAGGATCCTCGATTTCATGCGCATAACTCAAAACGAGTCTTGTGCAGTCCGGTTTCAAAGTCAGCTCTATTCGAAACTTGGCCTCCCGTTGGCAGAACTGAAGTCGGCCTGGGGTCTGCAGAATTTCCTACAGCCGGTGTTCCGATGTCCTCCGTTCCGCTTTTTTTATCGAACCTGCCTCTTGTAGCCTTTCACGAATGAACGCTATCCGTAAGGCAGCTATGGAGTTGGAATGCATTTTTCTTCGAAGAGGAAGGCTGTTTTCTCCTCGTCATGAGGCTGCCATCAGGAACTGTAGCTTTTGCCACGGAAGTAAGACTTCGAACTCAAATCCAGTCAGGTGTCTTACCGTTTCCGGTCCGTGACGGATTGTTTTTCGCAGCTAACTGCATATGTTGAGGTCATTCCTCACCCGGGAACTGGCGAACGGCCCCGTTGGCAGCAACCAGCTGTTTCCACGTGTAACACTTGGGAAAGGCACAGAAGGCAAACAAGGAAAACGATTAGTGGAAGAGGCCATTTTTGGCCATCAAGAATATCATCAACGACGAAATAAAATAAAAATCAACGAGAAATTCAAAAATGGATACACAAGTAAATTTTCGATTATCAAACGTAGTCAATTGATAAGAAATTTTAAAGTCGTAAATTATTGACTGTGTAATAAACATGTTTTACGTGATGGAAATGTTTTGAGCTAAATTCCGGTGATGTATGGGTTTCTGTGATGAGAAAGGCGCCAAACACGATAACCGTGTTTACTCACTGACGCTCTATTGACGTCTTCAAGTAGGAGATTCAACCATGAAATATTGAAATCGCAGTTACGCATCTACTGTGCTATAAAGGCTGTTGTAGGGTGCATCTGAGAGTGCTTTGATCGGCATCGTGGCCCAGATTCAGCTGCACATAATCATCATGCAAATCAGTCAAGTTATTAATTTATTTGAACGGTTACTATTGATTTTTATGATGAGTGAAAAGGTAAAGCAAATAATTAAATAATAGTCGTTGTACAGAGTCAGAGTTTTGTTCATTTGCAGATATATTCAGTATGCTGCCTTCGCTATCGTTACGGAACAACTGGTTTGGGGAGGAAAGAATTTCGAAACTTGAACGAAACGGCTGCTCATCCATACTCTCATCCGTTCGTTGTCATGCTAACGTATTCGGACATGGACGAAGCTCCGTTTTGTCACGGAACGCTGGTAGACATTTGTGGAATGTACTACGTGGTTGTCCCTGGTCATTGCTTGCTTGCCGGGTAAGTAAAATCTGCCTCTACTATATTTGTGAAAGAAATGGTTTTTGAAGGTCGAACGGCCACCATTTTGATACATTTTTTACTTAGCACTAGCATGTTAAATCTGAAGCAGTCTGAGATTTGTTTTAGTATGATTAAATTGTAAAAGTTACACGGAGTTCTGTCGCGATCGAAACACGTTGGAAATTTTGGTTTGCAATCTTTGGGACTTCTGTCTCGAATTATAATCCTCTCTCAGATTATAACAGCAGCAAGAGACTAGTTTCGCATCGTAACTAACGACCATCACCGTTTCCATCTGTCATTTTCCCATGTCTCAAAACGGACAACAAACTTTTAGGCAGAGATTCCAGCTAGGTCAGCCGAAGGCTGCGAATCTCTTTCCTATTGTACCGAAATGGCTTCTCTCTTACCAAAATTGCGCACTCTATAGGTTTGCCATATAGCTACCTCGGTCCTGACCATATGGCCGTGATTAGCCACTGCCTGGTATGTCGTCCGTATCACGATAATGAACTAAAATGTAAGGTGTGATAGCAGACAGACAGAAGCATCGTGACTCGTTGAGGTTGGTTTCATTTCACGAGCAAAGTCCCTGATATGATTCACAAGCCTCTGACTCCAGCTTTAAGATAAGGGATATCATTCAGTAAAGAAAATGGGCATAGAATTATTTCTAAGCTTCACATTTTCAATTAGCTTAAATTATTTGTTATGGATGTTGCTTCTTAGTTTCGCTTAATTCGTACGTAATATGTAACATAATTTGCATGTCGAAGACAGAATATACGGAGGAATTTACATACCGATGACGTGATCTTCTCTGGTTCGATCATAATATCTGTCATGATAATGGTTATAATTTATTTTTAATCCGATCGTTTTTCCAAATAGATGCGAAACTAGCAACAGTTGACACTCTTCAAATCTTGTCTCTTCTTAGGCTTTCTTCTGGCAAGTACATTTTCGGCAGTCTTTTCAGGGTGTCGATCCGCTTAATTATTGCATTTATCGCCAACTTATCCTGTTCAACAATTGATTCATAGAAACGGAGCAATCTGCAAGGTTCTGTTCACCGCCAGATATCACAACCGAGTGAAGGCAACGCCACCGTCTCAACGTGTCAAAATAATCATAGTCAAAAATGATAACGTATAAATCATAATTAATCGTCAGTACGAAACTAGAACACCGTAACCATCGCGTTCATAGCACATTTTGATAAACTTTCCTTTTTTGCAAATAATTACTGTCTTCTCAGCCATAAAAGCAAAATGATTTTCAGCCGACATGTGAAGAGGTTTGTGGACCTGAGAAGAATAAGACTCGTCTTTGGCGTGCATGATTATTACCATAGGAAAAGTTTCGTAGTCGCCAATGCCAGGGCGGCAGTCATAAAGCAGGAATTTGTGCCCTTGTTCGTGACTGATGATGTGGCCCTGATTCACTTCAGGGAAAGGATTAGTCCTAGCTTGACCATTCAATCTGTAAACATTCCACGTGCGAGTGACGCTCAAATACTGACGCCGGGAAAGCGGTTTACCATTTACACGTTTGATGATCGTCCTGGTAAAGTCGTGAGGTCATAAGAGCGAGAAAATTGAAGTGCAAACCAATCACGTGTTTAGGAAAACATGTCATCAGAAGATTTCGATTGGAAACCACTGACTCGCGTAAGCTTGCATCATTGGATTTGCATTACAGGCAGGAAAACCAGATCAGTGCGATTGAAATTTCCTTGTCAGGTGAATTACACGAGGTACGCAAAAATTTAATTCATATTGCACTCGTTTCATGTACACGCCTGATTATAAAAAAATTGTGTACTTACAATTATTTATTTATCTTATCATAATTCACAGAGAGCACTTTATGGCGGAGGGAGGGGGAGGGGTAATGTGGGAGTTAAGCACACCCAACTAGCTGGCATTTGTTACATTTAAAGTCTTTTGCAATTGCCAGGCTATATCTGAAACAGAAGCTGTTTTCTCTCTTGGTAGACGTTCTCTGAACCTTAGACCATCTAAGGTCTGCCTCATTGATTTTGGAACGAGTCCGTTTGTAGAGGTAGTCACTAACCACTGGTGTTATTCACACGCACTCTACAATCGGCATAAATGCTTTTAATAGATATCGAAGTTTCGGCATTTGACATTCTCTCCAGAATGTGTTTTTCTGAATCTCCTTTAGTGGAACAAAGCATTTCAGTTGTCTTGTTCTTGCGATCAAGGTTTAATATTTATCTACGATTTTCCTCAGTGCTATAATACGTAAGTATACGGTGGTGGATTAGCCATCCTCAAGCACACTCAGCGGATGGTAGATGATGATGTGGCGTCGTTTGAGGGATTGGGTCTGTTTCAGGAGGCAATTGCTGATGCATAATCGCTGCCACCTCATTGTGCGTCTGAAGTGCTCCGTGTCAGCGAAAACAGATCAGCCTGCAACTACTTACCAGATCGACACCGCTGCCCTGTCGCACATCCTGCATTTACCAAAGGTTCTCTTTTCAAATAGCCAATTCTTACAGTTTTTCACGAGTTCCATCTCTTCGCTTCTGTCGTCGCAATAAAGCCATCTGCTTTTAAGGATGATTCTCGCCTTCAAAGTCTAGCTACATTTTTTCTAGGTCAATTCCATTAATAGTAAGTATATTCAAGTCTTTTCGCTTCAGTTACAGGATCTGCTAATATTTATAGTTGGTTCTTATGCTCCATATGTTTTGGAATCGCTTGAATGACCTCTGCAGCTGATGAGGTACCGTGTTCTGTGAACATGGACCAGGATAGATGAGGAACGTAGTTAAAAACGTATGTACCATACGCATAGTGAGCATATCAAGGACCTTCACAATGGATGACTCTGCATCATGAAGAACTCACGTAATTCTTCTAAAGCTTGCGAGCAAAATATTATTTTTATTGGTACTCACAAAACAGCTTCTGCAGATTGATAAGCCGTTTATCGACATTAGAGCGAACTTGGCTTTGATTTGCTTTGGTGTTGTCCGTAAACGATTTCGCTTTCTTAGGGAAAGTGAGAGTGACGGCGAGGTCGCGTTATATTCGTTTGTTTCACTTTCAGTTGATTCTCCTAAGTGGGTTGCTGATGTCTGCTCTCAGATAAAGATGGGCGTTTGGGAGGACTTGAGCAGGTGCACGCATGTCCACACCTGAACTAATGCAGAATAGTACGGAACAGCCTTCTGTGCGTAAGGAGAATTCCATTCTTCATCGATGGCTACCCAGAGCGGTACTGTCGTTTTCTGGCAGGCGTGCTTACTTTGAGGACCGCCATACTGTAACGTTTAGGAGCAGTAAATCTATTCGTTCAAGTTTTTCTTTTCAGGGCGCATCGGGTTCCGCGGTTGTGGGCATAACTGGAACCAGACGGGTGATTTACGGCTTTTTCACCGCTAAAATCAAACGGAACTACGTCAGTTTCAGCGACATGGTAGCTTACAGTGAGTTTGTGCATGCTGCAGCCAGACATTTGCCCCAGTTGGAGGACGGTGCCATCCGAAAGCTTCGTCGAAGCGGGACGTCCTTCGTATTTGATGCCTGATGAAATTTGTTGGAATAAAACATGTGATTATCAAATGCCCTTTCAATGCATTTTAAATATGTTAGCATAATTCTCTGATGAATGGGGAGCAGGATAAAGATCGATATAGATTTAAATCAATCAGTCAAACTTTATTAACTTATTCATTGTATATACATATAAACACAGGGACATTTCACTTTTCTTTAAAAGTATAATTTTCTCCGATTTACACAAAGCACTCATACTGATTGTTTGAGCACACTACAACTCCATGCTATTTTCTTATTTGCAATGCATAAGCGATCAGTAAGCAACTTAAAGGAAGGGTACGGTGCGACTACGTCGCATACATCCGGAGAATTGGCACCAGGTGGTTATTCTTACCGAAGGTATTGGAATCTACCAATTGGCTAGCAGACCTATAATACCGGAGTTATTTTAATATTCTTTATAATATGCAGTTTGACTTTCAAATACGTTAATTGTTGTTCAATATTCATAAATTCTTCCCCATAAATATTTTAGTATTATCTTTCTTGTTTTACGTTCATAATGACTCTCGACGGAAACAGCATCACTGAACTGCCGTATGATTTGCTTCGAGCTGGCAACGTGTGTAGCTGTTCCTCCTCCAACATAGCGGGAGCCAGCCATTCACATTTTTCAGTGCAGCGGGTAGCTTAGGCCGTCTAATGCGTTCTGATCATTCGCCCGATGCGACTTAATCACCTGGCCTGCAACCTACCTCAAGAACTTTTCACTACTGATGTTACTGATTCGATGATCGGTACAAGGGCTAACAGTTGTTTCTCAGTTCTTAGACGTAGTCCGTCATACGACGTGCACTACGACCAGCATTCATGAGTGGCAGTAGGTAGCGCATCTTTGTTTGAGGGGGGGGGCGGTTGGTGGACTGTGGAGTCTCAGTAGACAGTACGAAGTTCCGAGTTCTGTGAACGCTGACGAACACATCTACCGACGGTCCTGCGCCTGTTTTGATACAGTACTCAAACTAATTCATTTAGTGGGAATGTAAAACTCTTCCTATATAAGTCATATCCACAATAATTGCATCACCTTCTCAGACCTTACTTTAGTTCCAAATATGAATAATCTTCGGTCACAGTTCGCAAAAGATACATCTCTTTCAGTTTTCGCTTTGAGGCAAACAAATGATCGGTTTTCATCAAGATATCGCAGCTCTGGAAACTCGGTTGCATTCTTAATTGTGGCAAACGCAGCAGCCGTTGATCATATTTCAGCATCTGTTCGATAGCTGGACTTCTGAGTTTGATCGAATGTCTAACGAAAGCTAGAAATCTTATTTAGTTTGTCAACAAATCGAGCTCTATTATTTATCAATTTTTTAAAATATCCGATACGGTATTTAATATATTGAGCTTTGCAACATATGATGGACATTGGAACCTATCAATCCATGAAGATAATATATTATGGTAAGTCAGTCGTTGCGAAGCGCGAAGCACAGAATACTTTAACGTCTTCTTAAGTTTAACCGTGCTTGGTGAAAAGCAGCCTCCTATTGAGTATGAGAGACCGACAGCGACAGCAGGTGTCAAAGTGACAACGACGTTGCCTTACTTGAAAACGTTGTTTGATCATGTAGGGCCAAATTATCGTCGGTGGCTGCAAATCCAGCCACACGACTAATGGCTTCGATTTTTGCTTCACTGTCAACGGTTTGGCCAGTTATCAAGGCCTGACCAAATTATTCAGCTTTCGTCAATGTCCATTTTGTTTTACCAAAACTTTGAATTCATAACATGGACCAAAATGAAAAATCAGTCGATGATGAAATGCAAATGAGCCTTGATTATTCTTGGATATTTACAACGCTATTAAGTTGTTTTGACGAAAAAACAGTTTTGCTCCTAGTTACATCAACAGTCACAGATCACTCACTGTCATATTCCTAAATTCACAGATATGAATGATAGACAGACAAATGAAAACTTCTCATCCTTCTTCACCGTTCTTTCAACTTGTCCCCGTTACCGTTCGATATTCCTCCAACAACGTCTCTAATGGAACATTTTCATTCGCGACTTGTTTTTTGGCAGTCAGTCATGGATGTTTACTCCCCTGAATGATTGTCAGTGTCTCCCTTGCCTATATCAAGAAAAACTAATTCAAATAATGGATCATTTTGTGAGGTTTCCATCACTAAGAGCAATCATCTGTGAGTAACGAGCAACAGCGACTTCGTTACCTGCCAAATTAGGGCCTAGCATCACCTCAAGTCCCTCATTTCAACAGGAGAGGCCTTGCTAAATGGCTTTCCAGATTTATTTGAGCAAGTCTGACGTACCCAAGGGCAAAAGCTGCACCTACGATATTCAAGACATCTCAGTACAAGAATTGCGACATTCGATTAAACAAGCAAAACGAGGAACGCCTCCTAGCGAAGCGGCACTACAATCTCGAACTCATCAAACCATGAGCTGAAGTACTTAACAACGTATTGCCGTGTTTCTTTTCATTACCCCTGCAGGAATGTGAAATTCCAGGCGATTCGACTATCGCATTGGTAATTCTGACTGACGAAAGGAGAGACGGGACGATCTCAATAACTTGAAGTCCAGGCAATCTGCCGCCACTCATCTGCAAGATCTTCGCGAAGACACTGACGAACAGATTTCAACACAGTGCCAAAGAAGCACTGAATCCAGAAATGGATTCAAAGGGTGCATCACCTTCACGTGGTACAAAAGATATTCAGAAGAGCAACGAATATCAACCTGTTTTTTTCCTTCTTGCCCACCCATTTCGAGAAGGCGTGCTCCTCCGTTTATAACCATTTTGAATTCCATTCATTGAGGAGCAAAGCAATCAATAAAGTTGCAGGGACCTCGTCGCTAACATTTACAGTAATGTAATGGCCACTGTGAAGCTCTTCGAAAGCACAGGTGGATCCCACAAGCAGATGAAATAGTTGTTGGATGCGGAGCCTTAGAAGAGGTTTTCGAGATGCTTCGACGCAGTGATTATTTATTTCACTGACAGATGTCTCAGGTTACATCTGCTTTATATATTGTAGCTATGAAACTGGAGACAAACGGAGCCATTCTCACTCAAAATGTTTTATGCCACTTAACTTTTGACCTTCGGTCATCTCTGATTCTTGAATTTAGACATCGTGCTTTCTGCGATTCAATATTCAATGCTAACTCGTGTTTTAGTGAAGGTCTGAACGTGATGCAGAAAACCCGTACAGCCACCTGAATCTGTTTAACGACGCTGGCTGAAAGCCCAAAGGCTATCTACATCGTTGCAGACTTGTTCGGTGCAACCCGCAGCGAGGCAAAAACCAATTATTTCACAATTACTCAGAATAACGAAATACATCGGTTAGGATATTTTGCATGACACTGAATTGATGACGTCAGAGATAGTGCAACAGGCTTAAATGCCGCGTGGGATTTCTTGTTTTTTACATGCTGTACTACCGATCATTACTGAGAGTCAACAAGGGGCGGCTTTGAGCGAATTGCAGCCGAATCAAACACTCACATTTGCATCACTACAGTTTATCTCGAACATTCGGCTGTCACTTCACCAGAAAACCATGCGCATTTGGTTTCTGACAAGTGGCCATATCGCAATCGTTTTTTGACTGATTACACTAGGCAAGGTGAGGTATATTCCTTAATTGATGATGCTTACCGATTAAGAGAAAAATTTTCTGGATTTGACCTCCAACTTATATATCAAAAAGTCGTCTTCCATCACTGACAACGGTGTCACTGCGCCCTGAGGTGTTTTTGTGTTTTCCAAAAGTGTTCTGCAGAGATACCTCACATTTGGCCAAACGTTACCTCAGAAACCAAGCACTGACGCCGTATTTTGGAGTTTACATCGATCGCAATGAGGGAAAAAGATTAGAGGCGCGAAGAGTGCAGCGCAAGGTGCAAATGTTCTGTCGCCGTCGCGTGTAAACCTCGATTGAGAGGAACATTCAGCTAGGCGTCGGGTGTGCCTGTGCAAACACTGACTGTGTCTGGCACTCTAGCTAAAGCGGTAATCGAATCACCCGTTGTCAGCTAGGCATTTATCCGCTGGCACGTCGAGCTTTTCGTTTTACAGGGGCATTCGGTTATCCAAATTAAAACCTTCATATATAGTATTCAAACTGAGAAGCAAGCACTATTTTAAAAGAAATATTCCAGGCTTATTATTTTTTACTTTGATAACCAATGAAGCTTCAGACAAATTTTGCATGTTTCATGAACACGGTAAGTACGACGTATCACCAAAGAATTCTTTCATCTTTGGAAATACACAAGAACCTTTCAGTTAAAATGCAAATTGTAATCAAAAATAATTCTGTTGGTAATGGCACCTGTGCAATCATATGTTGAAGAGAACTTCGAAAGCACAAAAACAACTGGCACTTTGCTAAGAAACATATTACATCAACAGTTCATTTTTGTTAAAAGAACCCATTAATTTTTTGAGTTCAAAAATATCTTCAAAGAGTTATCGACTTTATGTACTTAAGTAGGCAACAGGTATCTACAGTATGTCTTGGAAATCCACTTGTTCTCCTACACCTGTCGCCATCGTGCACGAGTCGCACCGCTCAGAAAATTTTCTGTTGCTGCGCATTTCGCATGAAGTGTTTCCTTCTAATGATCTTGGGAATTTCGTAGCAACGGGCTTTTAATTCTGAAGATTCAATCAACTTTATGTGTTGTAGTTTTTGGTAAGCCAACCTTTAACCGTAAGACAGTGATGAAATTGTCTTCGAGTGTTGTTACGTTTCTCTGAGGAACGAAATTCCGGATTTCGACCCAGAACGTTCTGACGCTCTCGGAATTGCTTATATTCCACTGCTTATTTGTCACTGAGAGCGCTCTTGAGGTTGGAGCCCATTCAGCAGTGCTGAGGCGTGCGCTGGGACAACAGCTAAGTGCTTCTATGCGTAGCATTAAGGAAAAGCAGGGAAGGCAACCCAGGAAATGCTCGAATTAAACAAGCTGCGGTTGACGACCAAGAACGTTGCCAACCACGATGTACGAAGGAAAAAATAAATACGTTTGCGATTATCAAAGAGGCAATTTCCATGTAATGCTTCTCTGATGCGGTTCAGAGTTGAGGTTAAGTGACAGAGATTAACTTATTGACTGCTTAATAAGCGTTATTTCTCTGTGAAGAAAGTATTTCAATCGAAAATCTTTGGATTCGTAGGTTGGCGTGTCGTGAAATGCACAAACAGATTGGCTCGTTTGTACAGTGACGTGATCTTTACACCTTTTGATCCGCCTTTGCATACTCATCTGTACACAAAAATAGCAGTTACTCATCTACCGTCGTATAAAAGCAAATGTGCAGTGAATTTGACATTATTTCGATCAGCGTCGTGGCCAGATTTAGGTGAATAGAATGATCATGCAGTTGAGTCACATTTGTACCTCGTTTCAACAGTTGCTACTGATTTTGGTGATAATTGAAGAGGTAACGTAAATTGATGATGATTAGCAAACACTTGGTGTTAATAGCTTGATTTGTTTTGATTTGCAGATCTTTTCCGCATACTGCCTCCATACATACCGTAACGGAACTGCAGATTTTCGAATGAAACAATTTAGAGGTATGGACAATATGATGACCAGGCAACACGACCATCCATTTCTTGTTATGCTGATCTACTCTGACATTGACGAACCACCATTTTGTCACGGAACGTTTGTAGACATTTGTGGGACGCATTTTGTGATTGTCCCGGGTCACTGCTTGCTCCAGAAGTAAGTGATCACACTCTGTGCAGCATTTGTACAAGCGATTGCTTTCCTAGGTTGAATGGCTGTTATTTCGGTTAAAGAATTTTCATCTGAGATGTTTTTTTGCTATGACCGTATTGTAATAATTATGTGGAGGTCTATGGCGGTTTTATTGCGTAAGAAATTTTAAAGATTTGTGAGGTTCGAGGTTTCGAACGCTTCCGTGCCTTGTAGGAGCAACAGCTGGCTCATCTCTCGTCATAATTAGCGAAAATCATCATCGCTGAAACTGAATGCCAACATTCGTTTGTCTTGTGCCATTTGTCACCACAAGGTTTTACATATTTCCGTAACCTAATCGTCCTCGGTCTTCAAATCGGCATTTGCAGCCCTGGGTACAAATCCGTCACTGCTGAATTGCAAGATTGCTTATTCATCAATCATGTGATATAGTCAGATTGGAGCTACCCTGAGAGAACTGGTGACCACGTTCCTTGTACTTTCCATTTCATTCCTTTTGACAAATGATTTCGCTACTGCCGGAGCATGCCAGGCACTTTAGAGACAACGTTTTTTCTGCTTTCAGCAGCGCCTTTGGGATTCAAAATAAAGACAGTGGGAAACTTGGACCGCTTGCTTCTCCGTTCGGTGGGCGGTGATGCAGCCACCTCTCCCCCGATGATATCTATTACGCACGATATAGTAGTACCTCATCTCGCTGAGGTTCATTCATAAGACGTTGATACATTCGTCAACAAACTTATAAACTTTTACGAAGCTGGCACTATCATGTGGGTGACTCTAACTCGAATGGGTCTACTGCTTTTACCGATGTTATTGTAAGCTGCAATTCCAAATTTCAATTTATCAATTTATTGAAGGCCCTTCATTTCAGGGATCTATTGAGCGGCGTTCATCTCCGTCACATTGGTATAAACAACAATTTCTGTTGAGAACGAACGAACACAAATCGACATGGGGAGAGAAAGATGAAAATCTGCATATGGATATTCGCGGAAAAATAACGTTTTTTTACGATTATGACATGGTTTTCGTTTTCTCGGTGGATATTATAATATTCCTTATGTTAACAGTTATAATTCATTCTCAACGATAAATTTTGCGAGGTGGATGCCCTACACGTACCAGCTGGGCTCCTCCTCTTCTTCAGCTTCTTTTGACAAGTACTTCTCGAGCAATTCATTCAGAGTGCCGAACCCGGTTAATTATTGGGCATATTCAGAGAAATGATGCAATCTATGAGGTTCTTCTCGCGACTGAATATCATTAGTGAGTGAAAGAAACGCCTCGGTCTCAGTCTGCCACAAAGATTATAATTATTAATAATGATATGAAGATGATCATTAATCGTTTCTTTGAAGCTGTGGCATCTGCAGCTCTCCAATCCG